GCGTTAGTCTTAGAGGAAAGTAGATAATTTTAAGTAACATCAAATCACAGTTCAGTGTGTGGGGGAGGACTTTTATTTTTGTATCTAAGCTTTAACTACATTTTCATGGGCTTCTCTAAAAGGCCATGAGAAGAAAAAAAAAATAATAATTTTTTTTTGGTGGAGACTGGCTGAAATTTAGGGATTTTGATTTTCCTTACTTAACTGCTGTAGCAAAGTAAAATGGACAGCAAATGCTTATCCTACTGTGCTGTCATATCTATATTAGTTATTATTTTGTTGGACAAGGATTTGAGTTTTATCCTAACTAATGATCTGGTCACTTTAACATCCAAGGTGTATTTGCTGTTTAACTGTTATGATGCGTTAAGTAAGTTTACAAATAATAGCAATAAATATTTTATCTTATCTTGCATAATGTATGACGAGGGTTCCCAGTATAGGAGAATAACAGGCCAACAGCTCTAAGTAAAAGTTTCTGTCATTCATTCCATCATTTCCCTGTATCAGGGCATCTGCTCAGAGCTCATTGTGATGTGTGAGCCAGGATGCTGCTCAGCTTAGTGGCCTCTGTGAAATCAACAGTCAGGACAGAGAAACAAGTGCATAGCCACTGTGCTTCTGACATATGGCTTCACCTCATTGATCCTTGGTTTGTGAAAAGGATATAATTCAGTTAGAATTGAGAATTTGCAGCTGCCAATGTGCTGACTTTTGGATACACCACTAAGGATCATATATCTTGAGATTTTCTTATCTTACTGGCTTCCACAGCAGCACAGAATAGATTCCCACACTGACATTTTTACTTAGTTATGTAAGATTGCTGAGGGAGGAAAAGGGAAAAACTCAGTGTGGGGAAGGTTTATGCTAATCTAACATTTTGCACAAATATGAAGATGAAGGGAAAATAAAATGCAGATAAATGGTATGACGATTATTTAGAGTGGATTTGCGGTTTCCTGGTATTCTGCATAAATTGGTCATGAATGTGATCTGATCTTCACCAAAGCCACAAATATCAACAAAGACAATATTTCTAAGCTGATAAAACACAAACATTTGTGATCTTTCATGGCTTTTTATTGAACACACCCATTAAACATATAAAGCAGGGGTGTCAAACTCAATGGCACAGGGGGCCAAAACTCAAAGCACACTTTAGGTCTCGGGCCGAACAGGATAAAAATTTAGTGCGTTCACGTTTTTCAGCTTGTCCTGATGTTTTGTCTCGTAGTGCCGTCTTAGGTTATATTCCTTAATTACAGCCACGTTAGCTCCACAAATAAGACACACGGGTTTACCGACAATGTCAGTAAACATATCCTCAGCCTCCCACCGGTTTAGAAAGGCTCTGTTTTCAGAATCAACTTTCCTCTTGGCCATTGTTAGGGGCTAGCTTTGACCTGAAATTAGGGTTGTATACATCAACAGACGCTTGATTGATCTGACGTAATTGACGCAGGTAGCCTATCCTTCGGTAAGGCAGTTGTTGCGCTGCATTATGGGATTTGTAGTTTGTGTGTTAACGGCGCTTCATATCGCCGGGCCATTAAAAAAAGATATATATAAAATCATCTCGCAGGCCGGATGTGGCGCGCAGGCCTTGAGTTTGACACATGTGCTGTAGTAGATTTACTTCAGTGTTTAGGGTCATTGTCCTGCTGCATCAGCCAGCTTGTTCTGAGCTTCATCTTGCAGACAGCCACCCTGACATTATCCTGGATAAACTTGATAATTAGTTCCCCCCCACAATGGCAAGTGGTTCAGGTCCAGACGCAGCAAACCAGCCCCACATCATGATGCTCCCTCCACCGTACTTCACTGTTGGGATGATGTTGGGATCATATTGGTACTCGATTCCCTTTTTTACACCAGATTTGCTAATACCTGACTCCAGTTGATATCAGAAGCCTAATGTTGCCGTTACTTTGCATGTTTAGTGTGTGTGTTCAGTAAAGACATAAAAGATCCTGTGTTTTGTCAGCATAGATATATCTTGTTTGTTGATATTTGTGACTTTGGTCAAGATCAAATCACATTTCATGACCAGTTTATGCAGAAAACCAGAAAATTGCAAATAGTGCCATTACTTTTGGGGGGGGGTCCACTTTCACACAATTTGGAAAATCTTGGTCTAAGGGTAATTGCTGGTTTTGTTTTGTAGTTTTCTGACCTTGTTGTCAGTTTAATCAGGAAGAGACAGAAGATTATCCTTGTCCAATATCTCTGTAGAGTGCCATTTTTACTAACTTTGTCCCCTTTCCGTCCTCCTCCAGTCCCCTGCTGCCAACCTTGACAAACAAGGCGAGCCCCACCACCACAGAGACAGCAGAACCGCTGTGAGTCACAACTCGTCTGATGGCTTCTTTAATAACGGCTCCCTGCGCGCTCCAGCAGGTAACGGTGAATAGCAACTTCCTTCTCATTGTGAATTCTGCTACTGTTGCTATAAAGATTAACTGTGAAAAGGAAAGCAACTGTGTGAATATGAGGAAAAGAATCAAACTTGGCCTTCAGGCAGTGGTACTGGTTTGACACAGTGCAATGTAAAAAATAACTACCTTAATGGTCTCTGTTTCTATATATTAAATAGACACTTTTATATTAAGCTTTCAGAACAGGAATAATGGTGGTTGGGTTATTTTTGAATCAGCTATGCCAAGACTAACTGATCATTCTGCAGGACCTCTGAGTTGTGCATTTGAAAGTGATGGCAGGCAGCCAACCTCTCAAAGAGTTCCCAGTGGTGTTGCAGTAGACAGGCAGGTGGGGTTGGAGTCATGTCATTCCCTTATTTGATTGTTCCATAGTCCTTGTTTGAGGACGTCCCATAGCTCTCAGATGAAGGATCGTAGGTTAGGAAGTCTCTTGTCTTTATAAACGCATTTCCTTTAAACATGTGTCCTTGAATCCTTCTCATATGTCTTCTCAAATGCACAGCAGTACATCTATGTGGTGCAAATTTTTGGCAAACTTACGATTTGATTCCAATTCTTGGCACTATAATTTGGCTGTTAGTCTAGTTTACTTTGTTACACAACTGATTTCTGTCCTGTGCCCACTGAGCTGCTAATAAACAGACAGTTAATCTAATTTTACATGCAAGTACTTTACATACTGCTACCCAGCAGTGAGTAGAGTACTTGAAATTATAAGTATACCTACTCTACTACTACTACTCTCCTTTTGGCTGTTCCCATTAGGGGTCACCACAGCGAATCCGATTCGCATGATTAAATTTGGCACATATTTATGCTGGATGCCTGTCCTGACACAACCCTCTCTATTTATCCGGACTTGGGATGGGCACAGAAGTCACTGATGTGAAACTCCTGTGGTTAGACACACACTCACTCCTGGGGAAATTTAGTCTCCACTCAACCTAAGCTGCATGTCTTTGGACTGTGGGAGGAAGCCGGAGTACCCGGAGAGAACCCACGCAAGCACAGGGAGAACATGCAAAGTCCACACAGAAAGGCTTGAACCTGGAACCTCCTTGCTGTGAGGCGCCAGTGCTAACTACTGTTCTGCCCCCTTGAAATTATAAGTATACAAAGTTATTAAAATTAGCTTGACCTTTACCAACTGCAGCATCAAATGTGATGAACGCAATAATGCATCAATAATTATAATCCAATAATATAAATGTGCCAATATGCATGAGTACTTTTACCTTAGGTATTTTGTATTTTGATGCCAGTACTTTTATTTATTTATTTATTGTTTTTTTGGTAGCTGGCATGTTTTGTAAAGTGGAGGCAGAGGAACAAAGTAGAGCACTTGGTTGTGTTGTTGTTAACGTTACGTTTGCAGCGGTGGAGAACAGCGGCTGTGCTACAGTGTTACTAAAAGAGGAAGCCAGCACATCTGTAGAAATGAGACCTTTTCTTTGTCCTGCCAGTTTGACTGAAGTGCTGCAGTGTGTCGCTGAGCTGCTTGTTTGTTAATATGTTTGATGCCCCACTATGCAAACATCATTCTGTTGGTGATGGGCTATGAAGTATTCACACAGTTTTCCACACTTTCAAAGCTCATTATCAAGTAATAAATAAACACAAATGAATTCCTTGTCTGAAGATGAACTAACGTTATAACCATAGATGTACAACACACTTCTACTATAGGCATGCTGTCTTGCTGTCCATGTGCAACACTGTCTTTGGGGTTGAGTTCCGGCTTTCTTTCAGCATTTTGACAAAAAATAATCAATTTTTAGCATTTGTGAATTGATTTAGAACCATAGAAGATATAAGTCGCAATTCTAATGTGAATGGACTTTTTTTTTTCTCTCCCACCCCCAGTATGTCTGTATGACATACATCCATATAGTAGTCCAACAGTACTGAAGTTTAAGATGTTTTGCTGTTTTACTTGGAGTTCTTTTTGAATTGAAGGTGCATTGCACCATTTTGTGTTGCCGCCACCTGATTCCAGATTCAAAACGGCTATTCAAATTCAAGAATTTTAATTTGTTGTGCCAAAAGCACAGAGAGTCCTGTGAGCCATCAGGGCTTACTAATGTCAGTGAGGAGTATATAATCATAATTTCATGTCTCCTGCTGCCCTGTTATTTAGATTGTCGCTACAGGTTTTGACTAATGTTGTAGTTGTTTTAGTAACTACTGCGTTTTTAGTTAGCCAAAGATAATAACAGATCTCGATGGACTTAATAAATCAATCTTACTACAAGATTTACTGTTGTCCATAGCCATGCAATCCACATGCTTTGGCTTGCCCGTCTTTAGTGCCATTTTATTTACCGTATAAATTAAGTTCTGTGACTGGATTTAATGTCTCTACTTAAAAATTCCCTTTTTGTACAAAGGAACCATTTCCCTCTTGTTTTGGTCTTATACCTGCTTTGTGTTTCCACACTGGGAATAACACTGAGTCTCAGCTAATGGTAGGCTAGTTGCCCAACCAGTCACCTGGGAAGCAGATGGTAAAATGTTGCCACTTTTTGCAGTACCAACATAACGGAGCCTTTCCTGAATGATATGTTTAACAGAATTATTGTTTTGCTTTCATTAGACACTTTGTTTCACTGATTTTCAGCACTCAGGATTTGTAAACATAATTACATCATTCTTGTATTTGCTGTATTTGTTTTTCTCCGGAGGTGACGGATGGCAGCAACCCTCTCTGCTTCTGAGGCATGACTCGGTGGACTCGGGGGTGACCAAAGGAGGACATGGTGGACTGGCAGGGGGCTCGTGTTGGAAGGAAACACCCAGCTGGCATGGAGCCCCGCGGGGTGCCCAGGATGGCCACCACCACCAGGGACGCCACCCCAAACGGGGAGGAGGCGACAGGGACAGGCAGGGGGCCCACCGGCAGCGCAATGGCAACTTCCATCCCCGTAAGGGTGCCTCGTACCAGGACAAGTTCCCCAACGAGGAACGCAAAGACAGCAAGGACGACAAGCTGAAGTTTGTGGAGGAGGACTTTGTGAGTAGATAACCCTTTTTATTCTAAACCCAAAGCATGGCACAAACCTTGACATAGTTCTTCAGTGGCAAAGCTCTGTTGAAACATAAGAATGCGAGTCAGTGGCAAAGCCATATGTACAGTTTAATAAAGAGGGTTCAGAGAGACAGGCTAGCTCTACATATAGACTGTTTTTAAGAAAACACTGCACCTGATTTTAGATCATTGTTGCAACTGTCAGAAATATAATTTTTGTATTTTTTTTCTGAACAAAATTTGTACATTTCATGAGCATTATGTGTTAAAGCAGTTTCCTTGTGCCAAGCCAGTAGGTTTAATCCTGTCAGACAACATGCTCTGATTTCTGGATGTTAACCTAGCTTGAAAATACAAATTGTGAATGTTAAGACATTTAATCCAGATGCTCACTGTTTGCCTTTTTAGCCTTCCCTCAACCCTGAAACAACTGGAAAGCCTGGGACTCCGATGCGAGCAGTGGCTCCCCATGCTGGAGTGTGGGGTAAGACCTCTCGGTCCAGATTTGATTACCAGTTTAAGCCCTGTTCAGCAGTTCCTCATTACTGATTGTCCTGTTTCAGAAAACCCCCCTAGTGGCAAACAGATGGTGTCCAAAATGCTGGTTATCAAGAAGGTTTCCAAAGAGGACCCCAGCACAGCTTTCTCTGCGGGCTTTGCCACTGCCGGTGCCCTGCCCACCAACGGCAGCAAAGCTCCCATTGCAGGTTCCAGCGTCTACAAGAACCTGGTCCCAAAACCTGCTGTGGCCCCATCCAAAGTAGGATTCACTGCTCCATGTGTCATATTATTGAAACAACTTTTATTTCTTTAAATAGAGATGCAAGATAACCCAGTTATGCATGTTTGAATTAAACTGAAATCAAGCGCTGCATACTGTACCAGTTATTTGTGTGCTAGGCTGTTTATATATCCACTCTTCCAGAACACCCAGTGGAAATCCGGTGGTAGAGAGGTAACCAAGTCCGGCCTCCACATGCCAGGCCGAGATTCAGTCTTCACCAGCCCCATCTCTGCAGCCAAACCCAGCACCTCAGTCAGTGCACCACAGCACAACGCCTCGAAAGAGGTGAGGATAACATGATGAGATATTTTTTGTGATTTAAGTGACATACTAAACTGCACAGCAAGCAAAGGAGAAAAATTCCAGCGTAGCTCCGTGCATGATATACTGTATAAAGCTGGTCCTACCTCTGTGTAGTAAATGACAGGTTTTATCTAAACATAGTAATTATGTGTTAGTGTGGTTGCTTACTCATGCACTTGAAATTTGCAGCAGAATATATGCATTATCTTCTCTCCACTGTATTACAAATGTTGTGATCTGATCAAATCCCACAATCCAAACATTTTTATGAAAACATAATTTCAGGCAGTTAAAATGGCGGATCATTGTTAACCTACTTGGATTTTATGACTGATACATTGCTTAAAAAAAGAATTCCATTAACTCACTTTTCTCCTTTTCATGGCTTCTTGTGCCTTCACATCTGCAGCACCCTTCCAGCACGACTCCTCCCATAGACATTGCGCCGTCGAGGCTGAAGCTGATGCGCCGTGGTCCGGACCGTAAGAGTGAGTTCTTGCGAGCTCTGAAGGACGAGGGCACCGGAGAGCTGACGACGAGCAGCAGCCCAGGAACATCAGGAGAGGTAGGCAGCAGTTTGACTTGTTTTCCTAAACCCTTGCACAGAACAGTGGCTTCAGCTAATGATTGAGATGAGAAACGGTTTCATTTAAGAGTGCTGTGTAACGTGTTAATTGTCTGCAAGTAAAAGGTTTTTGTTTTCTTTTCTTTTTTTTCCTTTTTTTTTTTATTAACAATGTCATAGTGCCAGGTAGAGCATGGATCAGGTCGCATATTTCTGTCCAAATCCGACCCCTGCATAAGAGTGTGCCGTCTGAACACAACCCAGACCCAACAAGCATGTACAGTATTGTTCAAAATAATAGCAGTACAATGTGACTAACCAGAATAATCCAGGTTTTTAGTATATTTTTTATTGCTACATGGCAAACAAGTTACCAGTAGGTGCAGTAGATTCTCAGAAAGCAAACAAGACCCAGCATTCATGATATGCACGCTCTTAAGGCTGTGTAATTGGGCAAAAATGGACTGGACAAAATGATTGATACCCTCAACTTAATATTTGGTATCGCACCCTTTGGACAAAATAGCTGAAATCAGTCACTTCCTGTAGCCATCAGTGAGTTTCTTCAACCTCTCTACTGGAGCTGTGGACCACTCCTCTGTTGCCAGCTGTTCCAGGTCTCTCAGATTTGAACGGTTTCTTCTCCCATCTACTGTTGTGAGATCTCTCCGTGGATTTAACTTGTTAGCAAGCTTTCTGCTGGTTAAACATACACCACATAACACCATAGTTTACAGTGTCACTACAAAAAAGGTTATAATGTACAGTCTGTTATCTAATTGTCTAAATTGAAATTGACATTTCTTTTTACCTAAAATAATTGATTAACCTTCAAAAACTTGAGTGTAAGACTTTCCCAGGCAGTTATACCACTCAGATAGTCAAATCTCTCCTGAGGCCTGTAGAGCCAGTGATAAATCTTTACCTGGCTCAAAAGGACAAACAGTTCATTTGTCAGCTGACAATATATACTGAAAGAGAGCCATATTTATTGCAGTTGAATCCCAGGGCAATGGCTGTAGTCTGTGATTCTAGTTGAGTCTCATCTTTCCACAGGACTTTCTCCCAGAAGGATTGTAGCTTCCTCAGGTAGGTTTTATCAAACTCCAATCTGGCATTTTTATATTTCTGTGTCAGCAGTGGGGCTCCCCGGGTCTCCTACCATAGTGTCCCTTGTCATTCAGATTGTGATGGATAGTGTGAGCTGACACCGTTTGACCCTTTGCCTGTAGGTCAGGCACAGGGTCAGCTTATTTGGAAGTTGATTGAGGTTCTTTATCCACCTCTGGAACAATCCTTTGTTGCAATATGTCATCTATTTCTCTCTTTCATCCACGTCCAGGAAGATTAGTTACAGAGTAAACCTCTTGACAATGTTGTGCACAGTGAACATAGGAACAACCAGATCTCTGGAGATGGACTTGTAGCCTTGAGATTGTCCAGGCTTTTTCACTATTGTGGTTCTCAAATCCTCAGACAGTTCGTTCCTCTTCTTTCTTTTCTCCATGCTCAGTGTGGTCCACATGACACAAAGGTTGAATCAACTTTTCTCCTTTTTAACTGGTTACAAGTGTGATTTCTATATTGCCAGAACCTGTCGGTTGCTACAGGTGAGTTTCATTACAGATTAAAGGAGCATCACATGTTTGAAATACAGCTATTTCTGATGATTTTGAAAAGGTGACAATAATTCTGTCAAGTCCATTTTAGAGTTCTGTGTGGAATGTATCAGACTTGGCTTTTTATCTATGTATTCTCTGCTTTTCTGTGTCCTTCCAATGCAAACAAACGAAATAAACATGAGAATACCAAAGAATTTGTGATTGCAACAGTTTCCTGGGAGAACTGGTGAGTTATCTGACAGAAATGCAGGGGTGCCGATATTTTTGGGCATGACTATAAGAACAAGTGTAGAATGTCCGAGCCCAATGCAGTTGAGCTTGTACAGTGTTTTTCTCCCATTGTTAAACGAATCAGACATTTGAGTGCTCCAGCCGTCAAGCCTAAAGTTTGACTACATGTTCGAGCCTGACCCGGATTTGAACATAAGTTCTAAATTTCTGTATGAAGCCGGCTCATGCCCTCGGGTACCAACAGGTCCCACTGGGCTTCATTCGGGTATCCACTTTCTAGGGCCGGGTAAACTTGTCTGCATATGAAGGACAGTCAGCACATGAAATTTTTAAGTGCCAACTCCAGCAGAAAAATATCACAATTGTTTTGTTGTATTATTTGCTCCACCCAGGCCTGGTGCTACATTCATGCACGGCACACTCTGTGTGTAGGGTACCAAGTGCCTGACAGGGCTGCCAAAAAAATATTACAGTAAATACAAAAAATTATAATAAGTCTAATTTTAAAATGTACATAAAATAAGTATTTTGTTGCTATTTGAATGTTCTCAGGGTGAAAGCAGCACCCCAGAACCCAAAGCCTACACTGAGGAAGTCTGCCATGAGAATGGTCTCTCCTACTCCCTTAGTGACTCCGACACTGAACACCTGTCCAGCTCCCTGGAGGCAGAGCACAGGTAGGACACTGCTAACAAGCTTCTATACAGTATATGCACACACACTCACACAGTATCGACTAAGCAGAAAATGGCTGTGCTTATGTAGGTTGCTGAAGGCCATGGGCTGGCAGGAGTACCCAGAAAATGATGACAACTTCCTGCCTTTGACGGAGGACGAGCTGAGAGAGTTCCAGACTAAAACTGAACAGGTGAGACCTAAGCATTAATTAGATTTACCCTAGATGCATTATCACTTAATAACTTTATCCGTTGGCATTTAGATTTTTCTTCTAATAAATTAAAAGTGAGAAAAGAGTGAAATGGCATCTCATTCACCCGCTAATTGTCTTTGGACCAGCTGAAGAGGAATGGCATACAGAGGAATGGGGTTCTCGTAAGGGCACGGGGTGTGACCCTCCATTTCACCCCCTGGAGGAGTGTGACAGAGACACACGTTGAGGAGGGCTCCGAATCCGAAACCAGTAGCAGCAGCCAGACCTCTGACGATGACGACTGCATCAAATCCTAACGTGTCTTTATGGAACAAAAACAAAACAAAACAACAAAAAAAAACAAAACACAACAGCCAACACCACATCCCAGCAAGCAATCCCCCTCCTCCTCTCTCTGTTTTTAGAGCACCATTTTGAATTACTTTCCTTTTGATTTTTTTGTTGTTGTTGTTGCACAAGGGAGAAACCAATCATGCCCCAGTGAAGGGGAGATTACTGCTCCGCCAGATGTTTTCCCTGCGTTTCCTCCTTCACTGCAGTCCCTGCCCTCTCTGACCCTCCCTCTCATCCTTTTTCTTCCTCGCTTTGTGGAACTGAAGTGTTCATCAAGAAAAGAAGGGCAATGAATGGACACTTGATTCTGCTTTAAACAGACTAACTCATTTCATTGATGATGCTGATGACACATTATTAATGATATTAATAAAAATTGGTTCCTGACAAGCTGATATGTATCAATAGAAATCTGTGTAATGTGTTTTAAGTCTACATGCCATTGAATCTCTGCAGGGACAGTGATCTCACACTCACCTGCAGGCAACCCTTGATTCTTATTGGCCTGAGTGGCACCATAATGAATTCACACTAAAATTATGGGCATAAAAAAGTACAGATGTTTTGTTTTTTTTGCTAAAGTGGAAGATGGAAAGATGTTCTCTGGGGAAAATCAGCCGCATGTTTTAATGGGAAGTAAAATTGTTCAACTATTGCTCAGATTTGCCTTCAAACAGCTGTCAAAGCTACTTTCTCTAGCTCCATCAGAATTCCAACTAGGTTGAGATGGCAATTTCTCAGATGGGCTTCAACTCAACATGTCTGTGAGGTTGTCTTTGTACACAGAGGCCTCATCTTTTATGAACTTCGTATGAGTATCATGATCAGTATACACGAAAAACACTTCCAAAGTACCATGGTGGATACAGAAATTTAATATTTGTATAACCTTTCAGCTATTCTTATACAGCACAAACAGTGATGTCATTACAGGTTAAACTATTAGAACAGTTATCTTCCTGTTAAATGTTCTCTTAGGTGATGCTTGAATTATGAACTGTTTTTCAGTCCTGGTCCTGGAGGCACTCGGCCACACTATTACCTGCTCACGATCTTCAGGTTTACTAAATCAGCTATACTGAACCAGGTGTGCTGAGAACACCACATTGGACACTCAAGGCAATGTGACTGGAACAACTTAACCTTTCCCCACTGGGACTTTTGCTAAAACAACAGTTATCAAATAACACTTTATTTAACTGTATAGGTTTCACACGTGAAAAAAACACTACCATAACAAAAGGCATAGAAAAAGATGCACATATTTACAACAGCAAACAAGTGTAGTATCAGTACAGAGCTGGTCATCTTGGTGAATCCCTTCGTAGGTGGAAACAACTTGGAAGGAGTGTGGCTTCAGTGACTACAAGAGAAGACTTCAGTTAGACCTGCAGATAAACAGTTCACCTGGCATGTCAGATATGAACTAACCCTGAAAACCTGATTTATTTAGCTCTGACATTTATGTAATCTTCCAAACATTGCAGCGCCTACCTCTCCACTTCCATACTGTTAGCGTGCCCGACTGGATCGCCAGCAGCTTTGGGAACGCCGTTAGTGTGAGGCTCCTGCACTTCATCTGTGTGCCCGTCGTCCTTCTTCACCTTCTTGACCACTCCCTCCTTCACTGGACTGTCCTCTTGTTTCCTCTGGCAAGTCGTTCAAATACTTTGCAGGTCATTGCAGGTCATCACGATACAATCTACACAAAAACTGAATCAAAATAGCTTGCCCCCTCACCTTCTTCCTGACCAAGTGGGAGATGTCAGAAACGTGCCCGCTGGTAGAGCTCACTCCATTGGCTGACGTGCCATCGATCTGCACGCAAAGTAACAAGGACATTAGTACTCGGCTAAATAAAACACTTAAACCAGTCGGTCATTTTTGCATGGGCGCCCATTAAAAAAAAAAAAAAAAAAAATTTGAATTTAGTATGTACATTTTGAAAAAGTGCAACCTGCCTTTGGACTGGATGAAGAGTCACCCTTCTGTACAGATGAACCAGGGAAAGCAGAGGAAGTGGAGCCACTGTCCTGACAGGTACACAAATATATGAACATTTAGTGTGTGATGCAACTGTGTTGTAGTGCTGTTTCAACTACAGCTGTAGACATGCTTCAGGGGTTACAGGCAAAGCCCAGGGATGAATTGGAGACACTCTTTATTAAATGTGGGTTGAATTCAGTGTGTTACATGTGGATTAAATCCTACGTCTCTAATAAAAATGCAAAGACAACACTGCTTTCACACAAAGGCCTGGTGTAATTAAAGAAGCTATATCCAAAATACACTCATTTTCTACATTTACTGGTTACAACTGTGTCCATAGTACGTACAGCTTTAATCTACATAACCCCAAGATGCAACTATAAACATTTGATACGCAACAATTCTTCAGTGCTCGTTATAGTGTTTGTTGGAAATGGTAATGTCACAAATCGTCCTCTTTACAGTCAGCGGCCCCGACCCTAACTCACCAGTACACCCTTCACAGCCTCAGCGGTAGTGCTTGCCGTTTTCAGTCCCTCTGTGGCGTCCTCCACCTTCTCCTGGATCTCTGGCAGCAGGGCCTTCAGCTCCTCCATCTCCGTCCTCTCGTTGGGCAGAGCCTCTGGGTCCTCTGCCTTGTCGAGCAGCTCCTGCAGTTTGTCTGACAGATTTAAAAAACCAACAAAACAAAAAAAAATGGGGTGTGTTTAGCATACACTTCTGACTCTGGCTCCGAAGATGACCAAAGAAAAAACGTGGCTGCAGGAGCTGGCTCTGCTCACCCAGCCGGCTCTTTATGACTGAGATGGAGCTGTTCAGCTCCTCGATGGCCTTGCTATACTCTAGGTTTAGGCTGTGGGTCAGGCCGAGTTGGTAGTGGGACTCAGCGAGCAGGCGGCTGTCAGGGTCCAGGTGCTGCTTCTGCAACTTCAAACACTCCTGGAAATCCTCCAGCGCCTGTGAGTAGTTTCCTGACAGAGGAAATAAAGAAGCGTTTCAGGTGTCAACAGGTTGCACATTCAGGCTCTTACAGTATGTTCAAGCAGTCACAGGAGGTGGCAACTTGTTAGTACCTGATTCAGCAGAAACTTCACCCAGTTTCAGGTGGGCCTGAGCTGCCATCAGCTGATCCTCCTTAGTCACTTTTCTTATTAAAAAAAAAAAAAAAAAAAAAAAAACTGTTACCATGGAGGCTGTAATGCAGCAACTTATCAAATTCAGGCCCTAACATTTGTTGCTCATTAGAAGACTGTTACCTTTTGTAGATAACTTTGGCTACTTCCAACATCTCCCAGGCCAGCTGCAGGTTCCCCACCTCCTCCTCGTCGCTATCCTGGAAAACCACATCACCTTTAAAGTCTAAATAAAAAAAATCACAGGTCTAGTCAAGTCACCCTGATGTGTATTTGGGTTGACTGGACAAGTACCTTCTCTGCGGCACCATCTCCTTCACCTTGCTCTTCTGTGACACCCTCCATTTCTTCATCAGCATCGTCTTCTTCCTCCTCCTGCTGCTGCTTTTCTTCACCATCTGGAGGAAAAAAAAAAAAGGTGTATGAACAGGGCAGCATGCCACTGCAACCCTCAGAGTGACATTTATAATCAAGGTCTGCACCTTCTGCTTCTTCTGGCTTGTCTGCTGACTCTTCTTCCTTCTCTGCCTCCTTGTCATTTTCCTTCTCTGCCTCCTTGTCATTTTCCTTCTCATCTTCAGATTTGCTTCCATCTACAACACTCTTCTTTTCCTCATCACCAGCCTCAGTCTTATCTGCATCTTCACTCTTCTTCTCTGCATCCTCACTGGTCTTCTCTGCCATGGCGTCATACACCTGAACCCTCAGCTCATCTCTGGTCTTCTCTGTATAGAAAGCGTAGAGTCAGGATGAGTGGCGAGAACAATTTGCTTTTACAGTGAAAGCGTACACAAACATCCCCAGTAGAAACGAGGGACAGGACTATTTCACTAAATTATTACATCATTTTCTCACCATCAATGTTTTTGGTGCTCTCAACATTGGAGTCTTTGTGTTTCTCCTCCTCCTCCTCATCCTCCTCCTCTTCTTCTGGCACTCCTTCCAAAGCATTACCCAGGACTGAGTTCTCCATCCTACAACAGTACTAATAGTTAGGTCTACACAAACACCAACACGGAGCAGATAACAATGTAGACTCAAAAATCTTCTTGAGCTTACCGTGCCAGTTCCAGCAGCGCCCTACCACACCAGAAAAAAGCCTCTCCACACTCGTCCGCTGTGTCGCCATACTTTTTAGCTCTAAAATAAAAATGTATAATTATCCATGTTACTGGTAGCTACAGAAAGTTCCTTTGACTTCATGACTTGGTTTTTGTGTCACCTTACAAATACAAGTACAAGTGTCTTAACTAACATTACGTCCAATTAGTTCAATTAGCCACATGCGGACTTTAATGAAGTTGGAGACCGTCGGGGACTCACAGCATGCCGCAGGCCTCCTGCAGGGCGCTCACGGCCTCCACCGCCTTCCCCAGCACTAAGTGCTTCTTGCCCTCTCCGATTAGTTTGTTGGCCTCCTCCATGTTAGGTACGCTAGACGGAGAGAAAACGACTTGTTAACTCGACCCTATGACCGAAAAACTGTACCGCTGATCCCAGAGTTCAGTCCGTAAAGTCGTGGGTCTAATGTATGTGGTTACGTTGCAAAATCTCACAATACATACATACCTTGACCGAGAAAATACCGACGTGGGATTAAAAGCGGCGTCTAACTGCGTGTGTCCTAGCTCCTCTCAGCAGCCACTCACGCTCACTACTCTGTTGCTTCAATTTGGCGCGAAATGTTCTTGCATCTTCCGGTCAGTTTCCGGATTCATCAACCAGCGCGGGAGGAATCTTAAAGGTACAGAATCAACAGTGTACGTCAAGATGACTGACCTCCACAACCACAACCACTACTGCTACCACCCCAAGGATTCAAATACTCCTACTATATTTACATTTAACAAGTGTATGAACTGCTAAACTTCTTTTAGTTTTTGATGTTGTTGTTGTCAATCCCTGGAATATATCTGTTATTAACTATGACATTGTTTTCTGCAAAACAAACAAAAAAAAAACGATTAACCTACTACGCTACTACTTCTTCTTACTGTTACTATGACTATTATTTCTACATCTACAACAATTACTAGTATTAATTCTAACACTATTATTACCTCTAATACAAGAACAATTACTCCTAATATTATCAAAACTATTGTTAATGGCAAAACAGAGAGATAACAGTGCCCAGAATAAAAAAAAAAAAAAAAAAAAAAAAAAAAAACACAGACCCATGACCCTACTACTTCTACTGCCACTTTACATATCATCACTGCTACCAAGATTCAGTGGTGTTATTTGTATTGAGATCCCTTATTTAAGTAGCAGTATCAGTGTAAAAATACTTTGTTACAAGTCCTGCATTCAAAGTGTTAAAGTAAAAGTGCAAACTATTAGCATAAAAATATACTTAAAGTTCTAAAAGTAAAAGTACTCATAATGCAGAATGGCACATGTAACATTAATGTATAATGTGAACGAAGAGCTAGTTTTAACTAGCTTATATGTTATATGTTTTATAGCTTATGTACTTTATATACTGCTGGGTAGCTTGTGAATATCCCACCAGAGACCAATAAAGTCTTATGATTACACTGTCATTTTTCATCTGCTTTTGAAAAATAACAAGTAACTAAAGCTATAAAATAAATGTAGTGGAGTAAAAAGTACATGTGCCTCTAAACTGTAGTAGTCAAAGTATGAAGTACCACAAAATTAAAATACTAAATTTACTAAAATATTAAAATTACAGATAACCTCAAAAATGTGCTCAAGTACAGTACTTGAGTAAATGTATTTAATTACATTTCATCACTGACTATTATAATTGGGTTACAGCTACAACTACTGTTAATAGGCTGCTAAAAAGAAAAAGAGCATTTTGGAATTAAAATTACTGCAATTAAATAAAAAAGATATGCAATAATCTTATTTTATAAAGAAATGTGATGAAATAGCATTTCATGTTAATGTTGAGTTGTAAACATCTATTGATTTCACAGTTTCATGATTATACTCTGTATCCTGTCTATACTGAGTGTGTATTTCTCAGTCTCTGTGTGTTTCCTTCTGTGTGTGTGTGTGTGTGTACATAGGCTACATGCTGTCACGTCCTACTGTGAGGGACAGGGATTGTCCGGCTCCCCT